TGCTCCCGTCAGTGCGGCCGCCTTAGCTTCCAAATCGGCTGCTTCATTGCCAGAAAGGCCACCTGTGCGGGGATTCAGTGGATCATCATCAGAATCGAGGGTGACATGGTCGTAAATTTCAGTGAGCACGTGCTGGCCGGAAGCTTTGGATTTTGCACCGCCTGGTTGGCGGCGTGGCTGTCGGAGAAAATGTGGATCTGCGCAGGTGATTCCCCCAATACCGTTGACCTTCCAGAAAAGCACATCTCTCCAGGGTACCTCCTTGACCTTTGCCTGTCATCGCTACACCGGTGGCTTACCATGGATGGGGCGTGAAACACCTCTGGAGTTAGTGGGAGTAATTGGATGGTCATCCGTGTCTCCTTCGGTACGCTGGGGATGCCGCTGCGGCTGGGCGTGGGCTCCATGGGCTGGGTAGTGGACGTCCGACGTTTGACAGGTTCATGTGCTGCAGCAGGTCGCTTCGCGTATCGCGGGCACGCACACCAATGTGCTAACGGGAGCGATCAGAATGAATCCTGCGGGATCCTGTAGAGCGATGGCATATCAGCCTGGTTGTTGAAACTCAGTCACTATTGGTCGTTAGGCCCTGCGACTGCCCCGGATCCGCCCACACAAAAACGGGCCAATTGGCTCTGTCATTTGCACTCCAGCGAGTATTCTTTTTCCAAAATATGGACCTCATGTGGCTCCTGTCCTGCACGCATTGAGCAGGATATCAAATTGACCGGAACGCAAAAAAGAAAAAGAAAAGAAAAGGCGAAAACGAAAGGGTAGTGAATGGCAGCAGGTTTGATACCGAACCCCGAGACCGACCAAAAATAGATAGGTCTCGCGGCCATGGAGTAGGTGGAGAAGACGATGGGTATTGATCATGGACCACCGAACATCCTGGCTGTCGAGAGTTTGGGGATAGGACAGTGAAAACGTCAGTGAACAATCAATTGAGAACGGTGCCAACGCCCTGCGGGCAAGGCAAGGAGAGAGACGCTCGGGACACGGGGATGTGAGAGTGAATGCGTTCTGGTTGCGCTCGGTAATCAGTCAGACTGCCTTGAGGACAATGTACTGACCCGAGTATCCTGGGAGAACGGATGGCATAGAGGTTGTCCGTTCGAAGCAGGAATAGTGTCGAGAAACAAAAGGAAGTGAGTTGTCTCATGTCATTCCCCTACGCTCGAGATCCCCAAAGCAATGAATCACTTACATGTGGGCTCGTCTTGGCTTCACCCGGAGGTTACTAGTCACCAGCACTGCGAAGAAGTGCGAGCCCGTCGCTGGTGGCCCCACCACTCCATCTATCAAGGTTAGCCGCCTCGAAAGATGGAGCTCTCCTACACCATTCCCTCAGCCACCGCTTCCCGGGTGTAGGGGTGGGGTCTCGAAGTGTACCAATCCAATCAACCGATCTCGTCTCCGAGGAGATGAGATCGGTCGACCTTCTTGCCCTGCGCCTTTCCGTCCTTGTCAGTGCCCCCTATAACAGCGTGCTGAGCATCCTTACCACCACCTGAGCCAGATGGTGTCGGGGAGTCTAGAGTTTTGATTCTCTCGACAAGGCATATTGCCTCAAGATGCTCAACACGCCGCGTCAAGGAGGCAAGTGTTTTCAAGACATAGTCCCTTTCAGGAGCTTCTGTATTGACCACACCACCTGACTCGGGATTGGCTGGAGGGCGCACATCATTCTGGTCCGACTGCGGCAACAGTCGGGGAAACCAGTAGTGCAGCCATTCCTTGACAGGGAGCAGCAAACCTGCCACCGTCACTCCGAGAGAGACACAACTAATAATCAGCGCAATCCAGCTTTCTTGCATAATGTGGGGGAGGTATGTAACTTGCCTTGGTTCTTTTTGTGGGTGTGTGAGGAGAGGGAAAAAGAAGACAAATGAAATCGAGCAGGAAGTCCTTGTAACCCCACGGTGGAAGCTATTACGAAGGCAGGTGCATCGTGGAGGAAGGTACGATGGGAAGAAAACAACGTGCGAAGATCCTACAGGCACAGGAACGTTGAATCTAGTCCACAGTAGATTTCCCAGCCAGACCAAAAAAAGAAATGCCATTCCACATGGGAAAAACTAGAGCCGAGTGTCAGGGTTGCTCGTAGATAAGTCGAATGAACAAATATCTAAGTCATGGCGGACGTTCGTCTATTGAGATGCTTACAACCCACTCAGACGTGAGGGATGCAGCTGTGAGAGACATGAGGTTACCGTCGGCAAGTGTAGAAAGGGTAGTTATGTATGATCACTGATGGCCATAACAGATAGGTCATTTTTTTAGGGCAATGTTAAAAGGACACCCTCTTGTTGATATTCGGACCCCCTCTCCACCTGTCTAAGCGTAATTAGGGAAGGCTTAGTATGTGTATTTCACGGTGTCTTTTTTTTAGTACAGTGACATAGCAAATGTTTTAACACTATTGGGCAGACCGTTTTCTAGACCTTTTTTGACCTAGTTAGTATACGTGTATTGACCTAGGTGCAAGTCTTCACACACCTTAGGAGGCCTATCGTCTTCGAGAACCCTAGCAGACCACAGGTTACTGGCTATGCCACATATGCTCTCATTGTCTTCCTCTACCATCTTTGTTCATTGATACTAAGGAAACACACTATGAAATACACATACTAAGCCTTCCCTAATTATGCTTAGGCAAGTGGAGAGGGGGTCCGAATATCAACAAGAGGGTGTCCTTTTAACATTGCCCTTTATAAGAAGGCCACTACCATCTGCTGCTTCCCCGATGAGGATTCTCCAGAGGCAAAAATCGAGGGCGCCAGTCGATGACTTAGTGCGCCCACAAACACACTGATCCAGGATGCGGTTCCTGTATTCTTACGACTTGAGAGTGTACCTCTAATATTGAGATTCGGCGTAACAGGAATGATCTGCCAAGATTGTTGCCCCAAATAAAATCTTCTAAGGTTCCTCCGGACTATTGTGCCAGTGCACAATACTAGAGGCCGCAGTAGTAATACCCTCAGGGATCCGCTGCATGAAGAAGCCCTTTTAAAATTGCACCCCACACAACACTCAAGGATAGTCTACCGATTCTATCAGTGATCCTTGAGTTTTAAGAGACATGGTCAGAGTGTGTAAGCGCGGCGGTTGACAATCGCCTCATTTGGTGCCCGACGCAGGGGTTGCGTCAAGATCATCTGGATCTCCGCGGGGGTTGTCTGTGTGCTAGAAGTGGCACCCAGGGACGCATCTCTGGGGTAGAGTCGCGATCGAGGGCAATAGGCATCCGGGTAGCGAACAGATGGAACCAAAGAGACACTCGCAGATTCCTGCATCATCGTCACGTCCAGGATCTCCCCCCCAAAAAAAAAGAAAGAAAGAAAGAAAAGAGAAAAACCGGAGCGTCCGAGTACTCCTCGACAGGGAGGCTCCAAAGAAAATCCAGTCCAGCAAAGCGCAACAGGCAAACCAGCCATCCCGCTAAAACCTCATAGTTCCGCGCCTGAAGCAGAGAAGCTTAGAGCAGATCCGGTTCCTGCAACCTTTCTCACAAAATCATCGTCTTCTCGAGTCCTCACTGAGTTTTTTGTTGCTGCTGGGATCCTATTGCCCAGTTTGAGACAACCAGGTGCCTCCGCATGCGTGCGCAAAACCTCAGAGTCCGAGACCTGAGAGCTCAGCAAGAATTGAATACCTTGCGCATTGCTACCGGCGAAACTCCGCAGTTCCCTGTGGAGTTGTTCTGATGATTCCGAAGCTGAAACCAATGACCAGTCAGAACCTTGCACCTGATCCAAGGAGCATCGTCAGGCACGAAGAGAATTCGAGCAGCAGAAGAAGAACGACGGATATGGGACGGCACGAGTTGCATGGAGACAGGACAGATGGAAGCAGTATGGTCAGGCCTTGGGAATGGATCAGTGGGGAGAACAGTGCGAAATAACGACAGGAAAGTAAGGTTGAATAGGATGTCAAGAAATGCTAGTTATACCATATACCACTAGACCAAAAAGCACCATGGGCTCTTTGACTAGCCAATACAGTCATTTTTCTATCTGACATAAGATAATAGGAGAAGAAGCTAGTTAAGTTAACTAGTTAGTATTAAATAACCGATTATATCTTCGTTTCTTTTATATCGATTAATAGGCTTCTCCTACTGCTTTCTTGCCCTACGACGGGTTCGAGCTAGCTTAAAGGGGGGAACCGTGGTCAGCCCTACGATAGGACCGATCGGGAGCTACTCATCGATACTTTGCTTTATCGCAAACATAATTTGCGAGGGTCAAATGGATGCGGGCGCAGAGAAAAAGCAGGAGGACAACACAGAGCTTGCTTGAGCACTGGGATGGAGTGTATTTCCGCTGCGGATTGTAATGAAGGTGTCGGTGATTATTGTGACGTATCGTCCCACTTTGTTGAAGGCCGTAACCGTCATAGCCAATGATGTTTTTGGGATTGTTTGTTAATGCAATGCCCACGCATGGTCCATCCCTGGGGTGGTTCGTAGTTGAGCACTGGCGACCTAATTAGATCATCATTAGATATGTGCTGTCCATACAAGTGCGGTGTGTATTCTTTCGGCCCGACACAATTCGTTACCTCCAAAAGCCGCGCACAATCGTGGCCTTTTCACCGTCACCCCGATTTACTCGGTACTATTTCTGAGGCTAACTCGTGGCCCACTGTGTTGGCAGAGCATCGCAATGCTTTGTCAGATCCAAGATTGTCCACTCCGTATTCTTAGCGATATAGTGCCGTGGCTTGACGCTTGGGCCTTATCCCCAACCTGCAAGTCCACAGTCCACAGCTGCCTTGCCGATCGATCTGACATGCTCTTGGCCAGAAAAAGGCCATGGTCAGAGCGTATGGTGAAACGCTAGTTGACTTCCTGGAAAGCCTGGACGGCTTTGCTGCCTCACCTTTTCCCTCCGAAAGCTTGCCGGAACTATGATACCGCAGAAGCAAACTGGGGCTTACACGGCGAGCCCGGTACCAGTTGATCCCCCCGTTGTGGGGGGCAGATCCAGGTGAACGCCGAGCAACGGTTAGACGCCAATCACGCCTCGCAGCCCCAGCTAGCCACCGTGGTGAAGGTATAGTCGGTCAGCATCCGATCGACACAACGCAGTTCAGAAAATTCGTCAATGAAGCGGAGATCTGAGTTTACTGCACTGCGGAGCCCTTTGATTAAGGATTACAACTTATGGTCCGCCTGGTCCGCCAAAAGGCAGACATGGACTTTGTTACTGGCCCCAGTTACCCCATCCAAGCCCCATCCTCCACCCTGACGCCGAATGGGTTAAGAACAGGCGACTGGGCATGGGTGGCACATGTAACACGAGCCACTTCATCCCGATTCCCAGGAGAAGCTTCTCAGCCTGTACGCGGAGTCCCACAATGGGCCAACGGCTTCTGGGGGCTGACCGTCTTTCCAGATCGGAAACCCTCGGTCGCCAGTCTCTGTCAGGAACAGACCTAGTGGTTCATCCAGCTCCCACGCACTAATTTCCGCGGAGACACAGCCCACACAGCCCACACAGCCCACAGACGTCCCCTTCCGTGGCAAAACCGTGCCCGCTCGGCCCGTCCCCCCTTCGGCTCTTCCCTTTTCATCGTTCATCGGTGGGTACAGCGCCAATCGTAAATGGGTCAAGGCTGTGGTTGTGCTGAAAAATAAGTGTATCTTTTGATCCTCCCACTGCTCCCTGTCATATCCAGCCCTGAGGTGACTGGACACGGGAAAACTGGGGGGAAATTCGCTCTGTGGACAAGTTTTCGTTGAAGCTGAATTTGACCAACGTTAACCCCCGAGGCAAGTATAGATCGGAGCAATTGAAGTCCACCGAGTGTCATGGGGCCCTGGTATTGAAGCTGCATTCACATGCGGCTTATCAGATGCCTTAACCGCAGGCAGATCCAGGATCCGGGATATACATTCATGTTTTTGACGTGTTTCTTCGTTCCCATCTTTGGTCATATATTACTCTTCGGCATTAACTGTGCTCAGTGGGGTCGCATTCAATGACTGTTCAGCTAAAACACCGTCCGCATACGGCAGTACATAAACTATAACACGAGGCCGTGCCCCGGCACAAGTCAATAGATGTCGAGACCACCGCAGGAATATGGGCATCCCGCGCCGGAGTGGCCACATATCGACTCGGTCCAACATCGTGCGACACCCATTCCATACTCATACGCGCGACATGAACCTCGACAACTACAGACCCCGGGCTACGAACTCCCTGTGCCCATGGCATCTTTCGCTCCTCGGCTCCCTGCCCTGAATCCTCTTCCCGAAAGAGTAGATCCACGATATACGCTCTCCACCGACAATGAATATATGACCCGACAACCTATGCAACCACTTCAATTACGATCACATTCATCAGTCGTTGATACTCGTGGATACTATACACCACATGAAGAGAGATCGAATCCAATCCTGAACAATGTCCGTGACTATGATAGCCAACGGAGCCGGCAATACGACGTGGAGTCCCAGTAAAGTCCCTCTCTTTTCATTTCAACCATCTCTATCTGTCAGTCATCCTGGCGCGATGTTTTTGGCTTCAACTCCCACATTCTATCTGATGTCACATCTGTGACGAGTCACACAAGGGAGAATCATTAGCACAAGATTCCATTCTAATACTCCAGAAAATCTATATAGACACAGCAGCAGTTCCACGGCCATGCCCAGCCCCGTCTGGTCAGACAGAAGCGCAGCAACCTACTCATCAACCCTGATTCAACCCAGCGCACAACAAGACTCGAGGCAACCCCGGAATGTAAACTACAGGATGCCCCACGGCTTCGACAAGCTCCTCCACCACGAACCAGAAGCGGAATCTCCCCCAGCACCCCCAAGACGCCTATCAACCCAATCCCGCTACCACCTCCACGTCCGCCAACAACCCATAGCAGCACGAGCCTGCGGCGCAGGCGACCGAGACCGCCGCCCCGTCGACCCACCCCCAATTGTCCAAATACTCCTCAACGACTTCGACTCCAACTCCCAAGAAGACAACGACATCCTCCAAGACCCCCGCTTCACAGTGGGCTGCCTCCTCTTCCCCGTCTCGCCCCAATCACCATGGTCCGAACCTACGGAATCAGATACCGGAGATCTAGATCAAGACCGAGAGAAAGATAGAGAAAAAGACCGAGATACAGACGGCGTCGCCAGAACAGACGACCCCTTCTCAACCCCCCTTCTCTCAGGAAAGGCCTTCATGTCCCCCTTCTACGTCGAAGCAGACCCAGACCCAAACTCCGCTCCGCCACACCCATCCTCAATAAACGATCCCCGTCTCTCCAGCCCGTCAAACGCATACAACCACCCCTCTGCGCGCCTCCACCAACCCGCTACTTTCTTCATTTTTGCCGATCTCTCCATCCGCTCTGCGGGTCTATACCGGCTCCAGTTCCGCCTGATGAATTGGGGTTCTGTTGAGGATACGGGTCAGTCGATGCCGATCCTTGCGGAGGCGTGGTCGGATCCGTTTCGGGTTTATCCTGCGAAGGATTTCCCGGGGATGCGGGATTCCAGTATTCTTGCGGAGGGGTTGAAGGAGCTTGGGTTTGTGGAGTTGAAGACTAGGGGGCATGGGAAAGGGAAGGGGAAGAAGAGGCGATGATCTTTTTCGGTTGGGTTGGAGTCTGTTGCTTTGGTTAGAGCTGAGTATGATGAAAATTGGAGGGGATGAAATAGGCTCGGCGTTTGATTCTTTCTATCATAGGTTTTATCTTGTTGCTTTTCCTGTCTGTTATTTTAGGTATGGATGCATTGCATGAAGTGAAAGATGGGGCTGGGTTAGATGGAGACTTTACTAGGGCATATTCCACCATGAATGAATTAAGATTGATCAGAAGAGGCCGAATAGGTATGGACAAGATCGATTCAAGATCGAAAAACAAGAATATGCATATGGTATAAAGTAATGTACAGAAATGCAAGGAACGGCTGGTTCTAGAAAATCGGCATAAGCTTTTCCACGATCTTGTCCATGGGCGGAGTATATTCTGGGTCGTTCCAATTATCTTCCAACTCGAGCAATCCCTTCTTCGGCAGCACAGCTGGAAGACCGTAAGCAGCAGCTTGGTCGTACAACTTGCGACTCTCGTCCATGAGGCCATCCTCACGGAGGAGCAATGCCAGAATCAACGCAGATGCGCGATTTCCTTTGCTCATGGCAAGTTCGTGCCAGTCCATTGTAAGGGTGCGATATTCACTGAGCTCAATAGGTTTGTTCCACCTGGAAAGGAACAGAGGTATGCGATACAAGGGGTTGTATTTTTTCCAGGGATTTTTCAAATCGTTGCGCCGTGACTCTCTCGACTCCATTTGAAGCTCCCTCTTTTCAGGGCTGGGGATGTCGCCTCGTGATATGCGGTAGTACCAGTTGGCAAGGTAGAAGCAAGCTTTGTCGTGGCCGGCCGTGGCAGCCATGCCCATGTACTGTTCGTACTTATCAAATTCCTCCCACGCATTCTTGTTGTTCAAGTATGCTAATTGAAATTCGTCCCTATCTCGCCTGTTGGCAAGAGCAGAGATCGCCATCTCAGTCAAAGCAACGGGCTCGCCGAAATCCAACGCAGCGCGAGTCATGGCTTCCTTCACTTTCTCCGGGTCGTCGGCGTTGGCAAGAGCGTAGAGTCGCCAGGGCGAGGAGACAGTCCCATCTAGGGTAATATCCGTCCATGGCTTGGGAATAACCCGTGTGGATGTGATAAATGGAAGAATTTTCTCCTCTAAGATCTTGCTGGCTTCTTTGTTCTTGCCACGCCAGGTAAGGAGCTCCGCCCATACCATGATCGCGGGAGGGAAGTCCTCCTTCAGAGCAAGCTCCTGGACCTGCATGATCCACTCGTTATCTCGGTGGATATCAATACCGTCAAGTCGCATGTATCTGGACACGAGGAAAACAAGGGCTCGACGGGACTTCGCTTTCGCGCAAGCAGACTGAATCCATTCTCGGAGGGCATAGTTGCGGCCTGCGACGATGTGCCCAATTCGATAGACAGCATCAACGTCTGTAACAAGTAAATGTCAATGATGAGTACTATGTTCTTCAGAGGATATATGAGAGCAAAACTTACCTATGGAGATACTCTGAATGGCTGCCGCGGTAGGGCTGCCAGAGTACGCGGCCTTGATCAGCTGCTCGCCCACAGATTTGAACGTAGTGAGGCCGACTCCGGAAGGCAACATGCCACTAGCGGCTTCATAGGTCTCCTTAACTTTGGCTTGGAACTCCTTGGTTTCCTTAACCCCACCTCCTGCGATCAAGAACGCGGAGAACCCGTCACGGTCGAGAGGCAAGTTTTGCTTGCTTCTTAGCTGCCTCTTTGCTTCCCTCTCATGACGAGGACTGTGAAGATGTGGTGTCTTTCTTCCGCCAACGATCGATCGAGATTGAGTAGTGTGGAATGGTCGTTTCGTTGTCGCAGGTGCGGTTACATTGTTGACGGCGGGAGCTGCGCAAGATGACAGCCTCGGATTGCGCACGCCGTGTACCTTCGGATTAAAGGTATGGCATATTTGACGCCATTGTACCGGGGATGGTGAGGGTCTAGTCATGAGGTTGGAGTTGAGGAGGAATGTTGGAGGTGGTTGTTGTACTGAAATTTTGGAGTCGGATTCGGGGAACTTGGTCGACCTTGTCACTGGATCCCGTACAACATCCCACATATACGCTGTTTCTAAGGATACCTTACATTTACAGAATTTAATATAAAACAAAGTAATATCAGAATGCTAAATGCATCAATTAACCAAAACAGCCCTCTGTACCAGACGGTCCCAGAACACAATGCGTATAATGTACATTTTGCGTTGATCTACCAGGCCAACAACAAGTAAAAGCCCAAGAGGAGCCTCAAATCAAGGAGCAAAACCGGAGAAAATCAAAAGCAAAAGAAGAGTTCCGCAGTCAGCATCCCTCTCCCCATCCTCCTAAATAAATAAACAATTTTTACTCCATAATAGCCTTAGCGCCCAGAGCCTTGAGCGTCTCGATAATCTTCTCTGCCTCCTCCTTGGGCACAGACTCCTTCAGAACCTTAGGCGCAGACTCAACGAACTTCTTGCTGTCCACCAGCGACAGACCGAGCATGGTCTTGATCTCCTTGATGACCTTGGGCTTGGAGGCAGCCTCGAACGACTCGAGCTTCAGGTTGAACAGTGTCTTCTCGGCGGCCGCGGGGGCAGCCTCCTCTTCCTCGACGGGAGCAGCGGCTCCGGGGGCGCCACCACCGGCGGCCATGGCGAAGCCGCCAACGGGGAGGTCGGGGATGTTCAGGCGGGTCTGTTGGGAGATTGGTTAGCAATGGTTCGGTACAGCATTGAATGTTGCAATTGAAGATTCCAAGAGTTGAAAATAGGTATATATCGCATATCCTATATCTCCGAGCACAATTGCCAATGAAATCCACGAGAAAGGAGAAAAAAGATATCAAACGCACCTTCAAGCTAGCCACGAGATCGGCAGTCTCGAGCAGGGTCAATGTGCTGATCTGGTCGACAATCTGGGCGATCTTGGGGTTGGTAGGGGCAGCCGCAGCAGGGGCGGCCTCGGTGGACTCCCATCGCCGGCTGCTGGGTGTGCGACGGGCTGTGAGGTATGTAGCGGAGGTCGCGATGCGCAGGGAGGACGGGCGGACGGAGCCGGAGAGCTGTCTGCAGCAGCGGGCTGCGGCCTGGGTGGGGAAGGACATGGCGGAGGTTGAGATGAGGAGGAAGTCTCCGGAAAGAGAGGATTAATACACAGGTGGTGGGGAATGGAATTGGAGGCCTTGTTGATAGAAGCAAAATCCCCTTCAGGAAAATCCAATTTCGGGATTATGTCAGCGGGATGCTGCGATTGCTAGTCCTAATTAGGAATTTTGGGGCCTGAGGCGGGAGTTTTACATGCGCTCGTATGGATACATGTAGTTGTTCATTGAGAATAAGTTACGTAGGTGCTAACACCGGAGGAATATGAACTGAGCTGGAGGAGGATAATATCCAATTTACATGGTTCTCAAAAAGTGTAGCTATACACACCACCTTTTTTTCTCGTGAATCGTCCCAGAGAGGCCTCTGCTTCCCCTCCTCTCAATATTCATCTTCTTCTTTATTTTTCATGTAATCTAGTCCTGGTCCCAGTCACCACCACCCTGCGGCATCTTGGGTCCACCCGCTTGCCGAGAGACGATGATCTGGTCTACGCTCAGCACCGTCCGGGCAGCCTCACTGGCCAGACGAATAGCGGAAGCCTTCGAGGCCATGAGATCTAAGATACCCTCCTCAACGGTATCAAGTGTACCATCGGCGGAGCCCTGCTCAAGATCCACACCAGTGGTCCAGTAGGGCTCTTCCTCTTCGGATGAACTGCCCTCCTCTTCTTCGGATGACTCCTCGGTGGTGGAGGCGCGGTGGTGTGCGGTGTACAAGCGAGAGAGAACCTCGGTGGCATCGAGACCGGCAGACTCAGCGAGTGTGCGGGGAACAACCTCGAAGGCTTCGGCGTACTTGCGGATGGCGTGCTGGGGCAGACCGGGGGTCTTGTCGGCGAAGTTAGAGATGCGCTCGACGAGCTGGATCTCGGTGGCACCGGCACCGGGGACGAGGCGGGGGTCCTTGGTGATGGCCTTGACGACGTTGACACCGTCGTCAATGGCACGCTCGACGTCCTCCAGGTGGTTCTGGGTGGCGCCGCGCAGGACAATGGTTGCTGTGCGGGTAACGGCGTTGGCGTCTTCCTGGCGGAACACAGTGACACGGTCACCGCCAATCTCGGTGGTCTCGACAACATCGACTTGGCCCATCTCATCGGGCATGGGGGCACCCAGACGGGCGAGGGGGGTGGCACCGACAACACGGCACAGACGGCGGAGCTCGAACTTGGACAGAATCTTGATGACCAGGATGTTGAAACGGTTGAGGTAGTGCATGGCAAGGTCGCCGACAGTGGAGCCGGCAACAACGACGCGGAGACCGGAGTCGTAGAGCTCCTTGATGGCAGTCTCCAGACGCTCCTCCTCGCCCTTGGTGAAGTCCACCATCTCCTGGGCGTTCTTCAAGAGAACTGTGCCCTTGGTCTCGGTCTGACTGATATCGAGGGGGCAGCTGAAGACACCGACCTTGGCGCGGCTAGCAGACTTGATAACTCCATCGGGCTCACGGCCAAACACCATACCCTTCACCACGCGGGATTGTTCCAAGCTACCACCCATGATCTTAACGACTCGTACGTTGTCGACGTTGAAGTTGAGGGGGTTCTTGGGCAGGACGGCCAGGACGGCCTCAGCAACCAACGCAGCGAGAGTATCCTCATTGCCGGACTGCTTGGCGGCGATAACTGTGCGGAGAGCCTTGCTCAGTTCCGTTGCCGACCGCATCTCCTGGAGTCTGTCGACCTCGAGATCTAAACAAAATCAAACCAAATCAGTAACCCCACCAGATAAATATTGACCAACACTTACCCTCTAGAACCTTCAAGGCGAAGTTCTGGGCCTTCTCGTAACCGGAAACAATATCACTCGTCTTCAACCCCAGACGGATCAACTCCTCAGCTTTCTTGAGGAGCTCACCCGCCAGGACAATAACCAAGTTGGTAGCATCACCCATCTCCGCATCCTGCTGTTGACTGGCCATAACGAGCAGCTTAGCGGCGGGATGCACAACATCCAACTCACGGAGGATAGTAGCGGCGTCGGAGGTAAGGATCATCTTCTGCAGGTGGTTGATGACGATCTTGTTGCGGCCATAGGGGCCCAGGGAGGTCTGGACGGTGCCCGAGATAGCCTGGCAGGCTTCAATGTTACGGATAACGGCTCCATCTTCGGCGTCGTGGCTGCATGAGAAACACAGGACTTGTCAATTGATTTGCTTCTCTTTGGAGGGGGTAACAGATAAGGAGGTCGCTCTCTGCGGTGGGCGGGTTTTCGGCCTCTCTCCTTGGCTTTCTACTCACCTCTGGTACCCAGGCTTGAAGAGCCCCGCCTGGGAGGGACCTGGAATTGATAGCGACATAATTAGATGTCGCGTCCGAGAGAGATGCGACGGGGTATGAAAGGGGTTGATGTAAAGGAGTGGATGGAGCTGTTGTGCCGGGCAATTTTTGGAGCTGCGGTGGTGGGTTTGCTCCGTTTGCACGAGGGGGAGCCCGCCAGTGGCTTGGCACTGGAGTATATAGTTGATCAACGAGCAACATCACGTTATTGTGACGGGATTATCTTCTTTTTATGTATGTCATGGGAGATGCTCATATTCACGAATGTTTCAACTAATTCTATTGTACACGTTGAGTCCTCATCTCAATAATCCATGCCCCATCGAGTCATAAGCACTGCGGAATCCAGGCACTGCGAAGTCAGTATGTATTATAAAACGAAGAAGGAATCCCTTACTGTATCCTTTCAGAGAACTGCACCCATTTTCCTGGTAGATTCTCTCGGCCTTGGTGAGCCTATTCAGTATTAGATTAGTTACGAGCATGTCAACAAGAAAGACAATCTTACCATCCTTGAATGGCTTCCATTCTGTTGTAGCTCTACTCCCAAGTTAGCAATTATACCAACCTTGGCAATGTCTGAACATACCGAAGGGTGGGTTGACATGAACTGCGGAGGAGTCTGTTTCTCCTGCTCCTGCATACGAGCCCATCTAGTAGATATTAGCGATATTCGAGACGGCAAATCGGTCTTGGATGAGCTTACAAAGTGACAGCAGCCTCCGGATTGAAACAGGCCTTGGACATCATCACTAATAACACTGGTCAGTTAATGGTCACAATTTGATACCAGGATCAATATGCATACTCAGTCCAATATTGTCCGCTTCAGCCTGTCAAAATAGTTCGTCAATTAGCACCTCGTAGACAGTATATAAACATAGGTAGGACATCCGAACTCACCTCTTGCGTCCGCGAATTCGGCAGACGATACATAAGATTCAGTAGCATAGAAGATAACTGCCCAGAGACATCAAAGAGAAAAGAAAGAGCGAGGACAGCTCCCAGCGTAATGAAGCTATTACTCATGCGTTCGGCAGGATGATGAGCCACAACATGTGCAATCTCATGTCCTAACACAGCAGCTAGACCATCCTCATCTTTGCAGATAGGTAAGATGCCAGTATAGACAAAGACCTTGCCCCTAGAAGAAAAGACAATATTAGCAACCAACACTAAGAAGAAATATTAACGAGAACGAATAGTAGAAACCAATCCAAATCCGAACCCCAAACTTACCCTGGAAGAACAAAAGCATTAGCCATCCCATCATCCTTAATAACATGAACCTTCCAATCCGCCCCCTCAATAGCCACCTGCGGAATCAACCTCTGCAAAACCCCATCCACCATCCTCGTAAGAGGATGATAATCAGGGAGGACCTTCCCCCTCTCAGATTGAAGAACCTCACGATAACTCTCCTCTCCCATTTTCAGTTCTTGCGAGCTAGATACGCAATTGAAGCGTCTTCGGCCGGTCATCTATATCACACACAAAACATCACATGTTAGCTTATGACATGCTTCAGGTATTCAGTGTAATATGTAATATGCAATATGCAAATAAAAGTCCGAACCCTCGTCGACACTTATACTGTAAGTTATGTCTTGTGTCTTGTCTTACCTCAACTGTATCCGTATTGTACAAATAAACTCCCGAAATCCCAACCCCGATAGCAACAAAATGTCCCGGTTTGGCATTCTGCACGAGTCGAAAGACGAGTGGTTGGCGCGTTCCGCCTCCGAAGCGGTTGTAGCGGTTTTGGTTTCCGAAGTTGGAGCTGTAGGTTGAGGTGAAGGGTCGGCGGGTTGCTGGGTTGGTTTTATGCAGGAGTTTATATTGACTGGGGATGTGAGGCCTTGTGCTTTGGAATGAGAATGGGCGCTTTGGTGCTATTTGCAACAGGGTGCGTGTGGAGGGTGCTTGTTTCGGCGATAAGGATGCGCGTTTGGATGCGAATGCGCTGCGGAGGGCGCGGGATGGGTGCTGGGTTAACATGGTTTTGTATGTTCTAACTGTTCATATGCATAGGTGTTTTGGGTGTACAGAACGTAGGATTTGGTTTGAGGGCGAGGTGAAAGAGGAAGTCGAGGTATCTCGGACTTGGGTGAGCCGGCGATAAGCATCCTTATCGGCTGTAAGCTTAAACCCGCTATAGTTCCAACGCAACAACACTCATAGATGTAAGAGAGGTATTGACTTGAAAAGAATGAAGTAAGTAATAGGTCCAGATAAAATTATGCAAGGCTATATATATATGAAAACAAAAAGTCAAGTTCCAGTAAATCGTCAGTCACAATAAGTATATGTTCAAAAAGCCAAGTCACACCAAAAGAGATTCACCAAGAAAGAAAAACCAAAAAACCTATCCCACCGGCGCGCACCATAGCCGAGACCAAGCAGAGCAATTACATAGAAACAGAAAGATATGTCCAGAAGCAGCACAAATCCAACTGGGGGTGAGCGGAAACACATCAAGAACAAAGGCCCTGGTATCATGCTGCGTAGTCATGGTGGGAACAAAATGGTATCATAGGGATAGAAAATGGAAATGGAAACATCAATAACAGGAAGAGGGGAAGAGGTATGGCAAAAGGGGAAGGGGAGATGTAACTCATGGACTCGTGGATAATCGAGACCGTAATATGAGATGAAAAACAGGCAAAACGTATCAGAGAAACCGGAAGATGTTGGTATAGGATAAGGGAAGGTAGAGTACGTAGAGTAGAATCATCCTCACTCCTCAGTCAAAGCGTCATCACCGGTCTCACGCCAGTCCTGAGACCGCTCGGTCAACCGACGAACACCCGAGACACGCTGAGCCCAGTGAGCTTCAGAAGGTGTGCGGAATGTGTAAGCACGCTGGGAGGAGATCACGCCGATACTCTGCAGCACGGCCTTGCGGGAATCACGACCAAACACAGCCGGGTGGTTAATCCACTCGAGGGAAGATTCGAGATCCGCATTGAGGGCAGTCATGGTCTGGGTATCGACAGACGAGGCGGGAGTAATGGTATTTGTCTCAGATGCCGAGGAATGTGTCTCGCCGAAAGTCGATGACTTGGGGGAGGACGAGATCGGGGTATCGCCGCGGCTGCCGGCGTCACTGCCTGGAGGACGGGAAGCACCCGGTGGCAGGGGTGGTAGGCCACCCTTGCCTAGACCTTTGAGAATGCTTCGGGTTTCGTTGAGAAGGTGCATGGCACGGTCGTGCTGGCCGCGGGAGACCAGGGTTAGGGCACGAGTCAGCATGTCGGAGGTAAGAAGCTCCATGCGACGCTGCACGATTGAGGGGTGAGGTGGGATTGGCGGGGTCGAAGGGCGTCCGCCCTTGGCTCGCGGGTTCGGGGGGAGCATGGTGATGGCGAGGAGGGAGGGGCGAGGGGAGTGGGTGAGGTGGCCGTCGCGGAGGAGGTCGCCGTAGGTGAGATCAGCTTGAATGAGGGGAACCTCTTCGACGCTGACCACGCGCTGCTCGTCGCCGTCTGGACCGCCACCGAGGGCTTCAAGTCCGGACACAAGGCTTTCCCATGGATCCTGGGGCATGTTGTCCTGAGTAGCGTTGTCGGGTTGGATGACGAGCTGGACTAGGACATCACGCTTGTCACCGAATCGGAGATCTCCAAGTGCTGCCTCGGCGTCCTTGCCGGTTGCACGTTTCGTGGTGTGGAGAGCACCGCTAATTTTAACAAACTTGGCTGGGGATCCTTCTGGTAGGCGGAGCTTCAACTTGACATTTTGGTGGGAAGTTGTCTGCAAAGCACCCAAGCATCCGGCAGTGCATTCTCGCAGCATCATCCAATCCTTCACATACAAGTATGAGCCCTTTGTGCGAGTGGAAAGCTCAATCATTGTGTCGGGCTTGTGGGTCAGGCCGAGACCGAAGGAGTGAATGTTGACCTTGGCGGCTTCCGCACGAGACACCACAAAATCGACACTCTCGGGGTCTGCGATGGAGGAATCGCTGATAAGGAGAATGGTGGAGACGGGGTTGTTGAACTTGCGCTGCATCAGAAGATCCATGGCCACGTTGGCGCCTTCGACTACATCTGCTCGCAGACTCTTTTGGCCAACGGGCCGGATCGATTCGAGGATCTTGGGCCATCCAGCCCATGACTTGGTGGTCATACCCACCAGGGGCACACCACCGCCACTTGAGCCGAATGTCACAAGTCCCATCCGGTCCCGGGGGCCAAGGTTCTGAACGAGGAACTTGAGGGCATCGCGCAGGAGAGTAATCTTCAAGCCTTGCATGGACGAAGATACGGGAATGACCACAACGATATCGAGAGGAATGTGAACAGTGTTGATGGGATGAGCTTCCGTATCAGGGTTGGTGTAGTCCGTAATAGCGGTATTGTTTGACTTGGATGCACCGTAGGATGAGTTGATAGAAGCTTGTCGTCGGATTCGGTTGGTACGGTAATCATCCTCCTCAGCCCCAGAGTTGTCATAGTCATAGTCATTCTGGCGTGAGATGTTCTCAACAGGATGCAAGTCGATCAAGGAACGACGCCACATCTCCAGCTGGTTGCGGTTCTGGAAACGCAGGTAGAAGCAGGGTAATTCGTTGACAGAGAGGTTCAAAGCGAGGACGGGTTCATCCGAGGAAGCCTCAATCGACTTTAGATGCTTCTTGATCAGAATCGAACCTTTGAGGGAACACCGGACAGGCTTGCGTCGCCCACTCTCATCAAACTGATTTGGATCGGACGATTTCTTCTCCTTGACACAGATGAGCATCTCCCCGAACAAATAGCATTCCAATTCCTGCCAGGAATCCCGATCCTTGCCCACGCGCATGTGTCCATGGAGACGCAGCTTGCCAAACCGGGGGAACTCTAGGCCATGCCAATTGTCCACCCGATTGCGCAATTCCTCCGCAACCTCATCCAGGTTCTCTGTCGGCTCATACTGAATAGACCGGGCATCCTGTCCACCGTACCGCCCCGTATATGGCTCATCCGGCTGTGACTGGCCAGATGGTGTGTGCCGCAGATCCTCCACATCAGGGCGCCAATTAGCATCTGGCACCTCAACCGTAATCAAACACGTGAGAGTCTGTTGTTGGCGAGATCGGTTCATGGTAGGGAACTCGCTGCGGACGGTGACGATTGGCGCGGGAATAGGGTTCTTGGGGACTCCCGGGCGCGCACTGAGGTCCGATTCCATCGCCTGCACATCGTAGTCATGGCGTCGCCCACTGCTGGTATGCTGGCCTTCAGTGTATTCGCCGGAGGAGCCGGCCGCACTGCCATTGCGGGAATGCGGTTGACGAGGATGAGAGGCGACAGGCAATCGTTCCACGCGCTCGCGCTGGCTGCCGGTGTCGCGGCTGTCGCGCCGGGTGTAGGACGGATCTCTTGACGGATTGTAAGATGGCTCTCTGGCCGAAGGGTTATAAGAAGGCTCTCGCGCGGCGGTGTAGCGACTTCCCGAATCACTTGGTGGTCGTCGGGTCGACTGCTGCTCCCACGGGTTTGAGTTGGTCAGACCACTCCGCATGGTCGCGCTGTCACTTCCCGTCACCGAACGCACGATATTACTGATTTTCTCTGTCGATCCCATCAGTCCCTGTCACTCTGAAACTGGGATGTGGGACACCTACCTATATCCAAAACATTGCCACCGCGACTCGTGTCCAAGGCCAACGGCGCATCGCAAGTGGGGCAGTATTGTCCGTCGCATTCCCTGAGAAATTCATAGAAACAGGCTTCATGGGAGACATGTGAGCAGGATAGTTGGAGGATACGCTCGCCTCGTAAGGTATGTTCCAAGGGTTCCTCGCAGACGGCGCATTCACTGCCGATGAATGTCCTCTCCCGCCGGGTGCGGGTGCGGTCGACCTCCATAGGGCCGGTTTGTCTTCCGGATCTTGAATGAAAGGATGCTCGTGAGCGATTTGAATGCGCAAGCTGACCAGACTCTGGATAGCCGGAGTGAATAGAGCCGGCAGTCGGTGCTCTTGGGGCGAAGTCAGTCTGATTGGAAAGACTACTGGATGGTCGTTCTACCACGCCTCGAGTGAATGAACGGAATGAACGGAGGGGAGAACGAGAGTCCGGTTGTGGTTGTAATTCTGCCTGTAATTAGCAAGGTGGGGGGGGGAAAATACAGGGCCATGTGTGAAGAACTCAGGGGATCGGGGGTTTATTCCAGGATCCAGGTCTCAGATTTAAATGCGATCTAATGAAACTTACTTGACTTTTTCCGGCCTAGGAAGCCCAGCTCAGTCAGTTGTTGAGTTGAGTTCCCAGACTTGGAGTCCGATCTAGGCGAACGTTTCCACATGGACTCAAAGGGTGGGGATGAAAGAAAAAGAGAGAAAGGGAGAAAGCCAAAAATAATCTAGTCAGAGGCTAAAAGGGGGAAAAAGAGTAGGGGAGGCTAAATGAATAAAAAAGGTACAGACTTACCCACTTGGAGCCATGGGTGCATGTTCTGCTAGACGGTGGAGTAGGTCCCCCTGGAAAAAGGAGAATGGTAGTGCCCTATGGAGTCCATTTCCACTATAACTCCGTATAGACTAATGATCTATGAAACCTATCCAGTCTTGCTTGAACTTCCGATAGCCCTGGACCTCAATGGTTCACGCCTCCAACTTTCCCAAAACTTAGTTGTACAGTAACTAGTTATTTTCTCTTATTTTTCCCTATTTTGCTGTCTTTTCGTTAATTACCTTTTTGTATACATTTCCATCGTTTGATTCTTTTTTTCGTACTTATTTTTTATACTGTAGAATATCTCCCCGATAAACGTAAACTTCTCTCTCTCTCGGTACGACCCCGATATCTTCCGCTAAACCGAACAGTTTGGATAACGATTCCCATGGAAGCGGGTTTAAGCATGTCTGTAACCTTGGAATCATCCCAACCCAATCTAGTCATTGGTGGCAAACTCGGAACATGTCCAGCTGATGTGTGCCGATCATCGTTACCTGTCAATGGCATCTCTGGTTCCGTGAGGTTTTCCAGAACATCTCCAATTCTGCAATGACGTTCTTCCCCAGTCCCATAAGTTATGCATCCTGCATTCTGCATTCTGCATCCTATCACCGTCTCCCATCCGGGCATGATCGACACGAAACCCTTCGACTTCCTCTGGGTGGCGTTGATTACTCCGCACCTCCAATGATCGACCGGAATTGGTACAGACAATCAACTCGGCTAACGGTACTTGAAGTCTCTCTATACTAACCGATATTATTTACTGTCTTCTTTCCGGATCTCCTATTCAGCCGGCTATCCGTCTCCACAACACGGGCAAGTCGTCGTCCCACCTATTCCCATTAGCGTTGAACAAGCAGGGAATTGGAGTCAAGCCGATGAAGCTAGGGGTAATGGATTTGCACATCGCTATCTCCATGTCCCGTTTATGGATCACCTCCTAGACCAGCAAAACAGTCGTCAGCGGCGAGGATCGACACGGTCCTGCTTTTTGGGTGCAGGGAATGTCTGTGCTGGCATTAGTGTGTCGTCCATTGTCTCAAAATTCCGAACTGGGATCTTATTCGGTACATGGCTGGCCGTGCTTGGCTATTGGAATTACCGTGAGATGATGATGGACAGTTTCTCCCTACTAAGAAAGAGGGGGGTTGATATTGGATCTATCGCCCACGAGCATTGGCTCGTGTTCTGCACGTCAGTCGGGGAATTGGCCCGGAACCTCCTTGCTGGAGCTGTCACGGACGGGACCTGCGTGGCATATATGACAGCTCATTGTCTTGGTCTGTAGATCATTATCCGTACGAGCACTTTGAAGCGATTCTACATTGTGTTCCATATTTCAAATTTCATCCTTATCTCCCCCTCCAGCCTCAAAAATCGGCTTCGGTGATATAACGTGATGCATTGTCCTTGCAGAGATCACCTAATGATCATCGCCGTTGAGAGATTCCAAAGCGAAGGTATAATGTACATCGCTAGCTCTAGCCCGTCATCCCCTATAAGTCCGCCTCATCTCCAGAACCCGTGTTTCAAAATCCGAGTTGATCACCTAGCCAACACATCCAAATGACACATACAAAAGAGACTACAGTAAACACAACACAACATCTACATCTAACTACAGGACACATATCCAACATATAGAGTTCACAACTGAAACACGCTGGGCAACAACCCACTACAACTCCCATTGGCCAGGGAAAACCCTGGCACTACCAACTCGCATACAAAAAAAACCTCTCTCGGATGATCCCGAAAATCACAAATAAAAAAAGAGAACCCGGATTAACGTCGAATGCAAATGCAAATTCAGTGCACATGTAAGCTGCAAAGTCACAGAACCGGCCCTTCTAACTCCTTTCAGGTTGGTAGACTCACGGTCAAGGTTTGCCGGGGAGGGTACAGCCTGCATTAGTTATGCGCCTAGTATCCTAGTGGGCTTGTCTTATATAGCCTCCGCGGGCGCCGGGCGCCGGCATTATGTACATTTACAGTAACCTAGGCATCTGGCCACATATATAGTAGGGAAGCATGTGCCTCGGTGGGTCTATACTACATCGCGTCAATTAGGCTGCGACCGAGGGTACGAACTGGTCATGCAATGCATTGGTTTACTGTAACTCTTTATAGTGGCTGCTCCACTGTTTTGTTATCGCAAGATTTTCTTTTTATTTTATTTTATTTATCTTTCCATTCCTTTGAATGCAATATGCCTTCATCACGTCACATCTACTAACTTAATCCTTCTACAGTACATGATACATAACTCTTAGTGTCCGGATCAGGAGCAGGATCATACGTGAAACAGACCCAAACATATCTCGTTTACTGAGAGAACATGTCGGTAATTATCGTATCCGCTTGGTCTAATTATACTATTGGGTTCCTCTGTGCTGGGACCGAACTGATTGAATCCGTCTCAGCGGCCCGATTGCTTCGTCAGCTGTTTCAATATGTCTACGATGGATAGTTCGTGATGTAGATATTCGTTATATCTGGGAGCAAGTGTTTTGGGATTAACGTTATTGCATGTGTATGTTACGTTAAGTCTTTGGGGTTACTGTATTGGGTATACTTTGTTAATTTACTCGATAAATTGGAGTCAGTGCACAAACTCTGAAAAAGATCCTAAGTTGACCTGATCGGAATTTTCTTGAGTAACTTGAAAAATCTCTATCCGTTCGTTTCCCGAAACAACGAGCTACGCGCATAGAGACAGTCAGATCTATCATTTTTATCTGCGGGGTCAATTCCACGTTCCAGGCTGTCCATCACGAGATAAAGCTAAACTGATTTGACATGTGACATCGTGAGCTGTCAAAGTTGAGCTTATATCGAGTATGCACGACGTATCAATTTTGCCGTGGATGCTTTACAGCTGTCAACGGTTAACGCGGATTATCCCATTCTAATTGTGATATGTCGATTTCACACTTGTTTTATTCAGTGTGTTGTCAAGACCATCTTCGTTGACTCCTGCTAGTACACTGGTCTTTGTTCAGTGGGGTTGATCCGTTTGGCTCCTGGAAGACTAATATATCATATATCATCAGCGTACACGCTCTAAGCTTTAACCAGATCGAGCTAATCCAATGAACAGGGAGATCATGTCAATAGGAATGAGCTATCTGGTCAATGTCAATATAACGCTAACGTTACTGGCACTTTTACATGTTTGTTAGAGATTAAGTTAACTTATTCCCCAACCCCGGATCAATGAAATGCAAAACATAGTCGCACAAAGGAGTCTTTCTAGATATGCTTCAGTTATCTAGATTCATGTTACTAGGCAGCGTTTTAAACTTTAGTGTCACCCTTAAAACCATACAAGCAAACTTATTCTTTATTAAATCCTAAATCTGTACTAGGAGGTATTTCCTAAACATTATTGTTATGGTTCTTGCCGTCTCTTACACTTATATATCTATATCTGTGTCAGAGTGGTCTATTGTAGGGCTAATCTGTCCAAATACCTATACAAGGCTCGCTAATGGATGACGATGGGACAGCTCATTGTTTGCAATCTGCCGAAATTTCCCGGCTGACTATGGGTGATCTAGCATTCGTAAGCTTCTGCATCTTGCTGATCCCTAACCGATGTTGATATGTAGGCAGAGTTGGTAAAGCCGGCTCTTGGTCGAGTATGCTATCTAGGTTGGCTCTTAAGGTAGCATCCGGTCCTGCAATGGCTCGATCTGTGGTGTCTGTGGTGATACTTTTTTAGGAGTGGAGACTCTTTGCGTCTCACTTCTATATCGGAGTCTGAAGTGACCGAGTGTGGGCTTACAGTAGGCTCCACTGCTATAGCTTTGGGCGAAGGTCCCTCCGAGGAATCTGTTGCAGGTATGCTCGAAGTGTACTTCTCCCGGTGAAAGTATGATATTCTAATACTCAGGTAGCTGTGGATCAACCCGTTTTGAAACATATCTCCCAATTCAAGTTTCCACACTCATCATCCAGTAGAGACTTATTGAATGCTATTGTTGATAGAACTTGATGAATGAATTGACCAATCATTTCCGTCTTTCTGGGGTCCTTGTTGAGGGTAAATGCAGCACTCCGGTCCGTTTATCGATGGGCAATTGACATCTTCGTGGGATACGCCACGAGTACTGTAAATGGAGTCAGAAAGAAAGACAGTGCGCCTAGTCAATTGAACCAGGAATGCCAGGCTCAACCGAGAAGTCCTTCCTTCCATCGTGTGAGTTGCTGTTGACACTCTTATCATCAGCATAAGCATTATTTTCCCGAGAAGAACAACGAGTATTGAAACAGATTTGGAAGATACTCATTCCCATTGAATAGGGTCAATAGTCCTACCGTCACTGGGTGGTGTAGGTAGTGAGAACTGCCTACCAAGTCTCGTCTCAGACCAGAAGCACAGAGCCACTAAAGCTGTAAACAGAGGACGCTGCCTAGACAATCCCAAATGGGCAGTATAACCTGGAGATGTCCGGTGACCAACCAGAGTGGTCAAATGTAGCAGAGCCGATTGTTGTTGTTTCCCAGTCTCTTTTCAATTCACTTCTCTCTCTCCTCACCCTTTCGTCACCGTAGCAAACAGCCGTGTGAGTATCACCAAATCCCATCCCCATCTTTCATCATCCTCTGGTCAAGACTGATTTGAAGTGGCTCCAGGCACCATGGCTGAACCTGGGCTGAAAATCCTGGGGGGAGCCTCAAGTGCAGAGGATTTCTGGGGTCGTTCCCTTCATCGTACCCATGCCTTTGATGATCAACGTCGTCGTGGTCGCGATCCTGCTGATGCCCACGAGTCTCCCCGCGAGTCTGGTGGTGAGTCTGGCCGCCAATATGGTCATGAATCTGGTCGGGACTTTAGTCGTGATCGTGGCTCTGGTCATTTCCGCGACTATGACAGAGAACGCAATCATCGTGACTCTGGCATGAAGCGAAGAGATGATGATCGAGCCCGCTACCGTGAACGGGACTATTATCCCAACAACCATCGTGAAGAGTACGACTC